CATTAACTACTAAAAAAAAATTCTCATGGAATTTTATTGATTTTTAAGATTTTAAGGCCAACTTAAACATTAATGAATTTTTGAACAGCTGAATAGTCAATTATAAAGACATAAAAATATTTTTTTTTTTTCTTTCTTTTAATGATAAATAATTTTTAGAAAAAGGAAAAAATAAATAATGCCATCATTTCATGAAATAAATAAAACATTCAAAATGCTTAATCACTCTTCCTGACTTTAAAGAATTAATTTTAATACTGTATTATAACAGTCAATAATTTTCCTTAGTTTATTAAATTAATGATTTTAATTAGCAGATCAAATACATATGACAGTTGAAATTTCAAATTAATATGATATATATTATTATAGTCATGTATTATGCTGTGAAATTAATTAATCAAGATATAATTAAATCAAAATTAAATAATGAAGTGTGGACTGCTACCCAAAAGGAAATACACAAAACATAAACATTTCATAATACAAAACAATTCAAGAAATTTTTAAAACTATGAATTTAGGTAGCAGCCCACCTTTCATTCTGTAAGTTTGATTTAATTTCTATCTCTTCATTACATATATGTAAGATATAACAAAATATGATAACTGCTTTAAAAAATAATTGGCAACTTCAAAATTATTAAAATTAAAAAATTTGGTGCTCTCCCCCTAAATTCATCTGTTCTCCAAAAATTCGAATCTTTCCATCATTATGTAATGCTACTAAGTAACCAATTATAGTTTAGCTGTACTTGTACATCAAGCTCGGTATAAATACCGCTGGCAGTTAATTACATCATTCTTATTCTGCTAGCTTCCACCTTGCTAATATCTCACCACTCTGCTTTCCCATCTAAAATGCCTACGTCTTAATTTTAAGAACCAATGTACATAGCAAATTATCATATTTCATTATAATTGAATCATAGAAATGTACCGAATTTCATTATGATTGGATAAATATCTACTGTGATGATGTTATATGCACAGAAATAAAGCCTGAAAATTCAAGTTCATACTTTATCTTCATCTGTATGCCATCACCATAGGCTGCAAGCTGATTCCTATTTTATGCTCCAGAAATATTGCATACAATAGAACTTTTTAAAGGAGTAAAATTGTTTAAAAGGCTTTAAACAAGCCATTGTTAATACAATGCAAGAAAATGTGTTATACTCACATTCATCAATTTTCAAGTATAAATCTAATAATGAATGCACTAAATAAAACATATGGTACATGACCTAAGTAAATATATATTTTAAAAATAGCACCTTCTCAATAATCTAAACTAGATTATCAAATAGGTAATTTTTTAATGCTTCAGTTGTATCATTTCATATTGTATAAAACCCTCATTTGATAAAATTAACAGAAATACTACTTGGTATAAGAACTTATCTAAAAGTGATTTTTAATTGATACATATGAAGAACAAACAGAAAAATGCATTAATGTATTAGTTAATCAAACAGCATACATGATGATAGATGACTTTTTTTTTTTTTTTTTCTCTACAAACAATTAATAATTTATGCAACTTTTTATACACTAGATGGAACACTTAGTGGAAATAAGAGATAAATTATTAGCACCACATACAAGCGAAAATTTACTTATCCTTACTGTTGATGCCTTTAAAATGGTTGGAAACAAATTTAAATTCAGTACAAAGTCCGTAATCCGGACTCATCGGGACTTCGGCGAATCCGGATTAGGGGTTTTTCCGAATTATAGATCATCAGTTTAAATCTGGTAAGATGGCATGCAGAAATTATACAATTAAAAATATGAAACCGTAATTTATGAAATAAAGAGCAATTATGATCTAAAGGATATCAAAATTAAAAAAAAAAAAAAAAGCATAAATTACGCTTAGTCGAAATTAGAAAATTGCAACCAGAAAACTATTTGATGTGTATTCATGATATTTATAATGACGAGGAATTTGATTTAAATCATATCAAAGACAGATTACATCGAGATGAAATTACTACATTTAGCAAGGAATTATAAGCCGAATAAAATAAAAACATCTGCCCTGAAAATGAGGATAGTGCTGACAGATCAACTTTGAGTTCACTGCGCCGCGACATCCCCCCCCAGAGCAGCGTGAAATTGATAAACAGATTTCGGAATGGTTAGAGAAACAAATCATTAAGCCAAGCTATTCTGATTACGCAAGTAATATCGTGCTAAGTAGAAAAAAATGTGTTTCATTTAGACTATGTCTGGACTTAAACGACACTTAAAACCAGGTAAATCCCTTTCCGTATATTTAATTGCCATGCGTGAAATAGCCAGTCACAGTTCCGTTGCGGATTCATCAATTTTTTTGATTATGTAATCAATGGTATACCTGATCAGAGTAGTAACCAAATTATTTTGTATGGGTGTAAAACTATTTCTGAATTCAAAGAGAAATTAAAAATTTATGAGAAAATCCGTGTTCCAGATACAAAGAATAAGGGTTATTTTTAAGTACTAATACACAAAATAAAGCATGCGCTATACCTAATAAGAGTAAAGAACCAAGGTGTTATAACTGTGGAAGTATAGGGCGTGTAATGTATGCGCATTCTTTCCGCGCATGCGTAAAGTATACCAAAAAAAATTTTGTGGCTTTCAGGTCTGGATTATAGATCATTCCGGATAATGGATGTCCGGATTATGGACTTATAAAACTTATTGTACTGTATAAAATTTATAGTTTTGTAATCAATAACACAGCAAATATGACAAAAATTAAAAAACAATTTTCAGCTTTTATCTGACAGTTGTTCAGCACAATTTACTGGTCTAATATCTAAATATATCAAATATTACTGAGCATGTTATTAAAAATCCTGAAATATTTTCAAAATCACTACCTGGTCAAAGCCAAATATAATGGACTGGCTCAAATATACCATCAGAAGTACACTGGAACTCAGTATAACACACTTGAAAGTTATATAAAGAATAGGACAATTTTCACGAAAGTAGTAGAACAGAACTGAGATGCTATAGATAAGAATATTCAGTCTAAAGTTATTAATATCTCAGTTAAACAAAATACAGAGGCTTCCTTACTTCGTATGAAACCAGTTTTAGTTGTCTGGGATAAAATCCAGATGGATTAATGCAGCATTCTGAAGTTGAAGTTGGTAAAGATCTTAAAATCGGCTTAATATTGATAAAAGAAGCATAAAATTATTTAAAATATAATATGTATTTTAAAACATGACCGCCCAGTGGAGAGAGTTCAATCCCATGCTGATGCACTCTGGGGCCTAAGGTCAAGAAAGCAGATTTCGGGGTAGTACAGGTCGTGGCCCATTAGGGCTGTTGTGCCACTGAGTTTAGTTTTTATTTTAAAGCATAAAATTGTAATCAGTACATTTTTAGCATATTATTTTTTCACAAAATATAAAACCTTATTAGCAAGTGAAAAGGAGCAGGCACTGGGTTGGTAAAAGAAAAACATGCAGAAACTGTTTTGTTCAGCATTACACTGAAATTTATAATTCATATTCTGTAGAACCTTTTTGAAAATGGAGCAGTGAGTCACTGACCACAGTTGAGTAGTGGACACCAATAGCCTGTCAGAAAAGAATGCATAGAGGAAAAGGAACTAGGTCTCACTGAAATGTTAAACACAGCAAGATCTTGATTTCCACGGATTGAAAGAATGCTTCCTACTTTTGGAATTATACATATTAAATTGAGATGTAATTTAAAGGTTCAAAAGGTAACAAAACTTTTTTATTTTGTATACAGCACAGAATGCAAATAACAGTAATGCACTTGTAAATGTGTTGCATAATAGTGAGATAAACTGTTTTGAAAAACTTACATAGTTTACAAATATTAAAAGACATTTCTATGGTTATATATTCTTTTTCTTTTATATGTTTGTTTATTACTATGTGAAATGATTAAAATGACTTACTAATGCCAAAAAGCTGCTAAGATATTCATTGTACTTTATGCTTCCAATTAACAGCATAATCTATAATTTATATTACCACTAATTATAAATTATTTTATTAATTTATGCATTTATTATGCTTCTAATATCATCTAACTATAAGTTTAATTACTTTACATTAATTATCAATTTATGGAAACCATTTAATATGTTAATGCTTAAAAATGTTTTAAAAATCTAATTTAAATTTAGAAAAAAAAATATTTTTACACCCTTCTATATGATACATGTACATAAAAATTTTATTTTACTGCATACAGATAGGTCATTTAATAAGATCTTAAAATTTCTGCAATATGATAAGTATATTATCATTCTACATTACTTTACTTATAAATTACATTAACCTTTAGAATGGCAACTTATGTAACAGAAATTTATGAAATCTTCCTTCTTTCATAACTTTTTTTATTTTGAAAATATGTTTTATTGCTTACCTTAAAATATTTCTATGTCATTAAATAAAATGATAACACATTTTATAAAACAACATAAGGTTAGAGTATGCCAATTGCAAAAAAGGGACAGTGCCGCATATTAACTAACTTAAAACACAATTTCACTCATATACAACAGTTATAGAATCTTATCAAATGGAAGGAAAAACGAATCTAATAAATAATATGTTAAAAAAATTAATGAAACAAAAAAATATCAACAGAAATTGTATAGTGCACCTTTCTGTTCAAGAGTATAATTATTAAAGTGGATGGAGATGTAACAGAACATAACACAAATCACTAAATTAAACATTAACTACAAATAGGATGCTTTCATTTTACAAAACTATGCAAAAATGTGCTAAAAATATGCCTATATTTAAATATCAACATTCCACATACTAAACATAATCAAGGAAGTCTGCAAATTTTTGAGGAAAACGTCAAAATTTTCTAACAGCATGTAACATATGCATTATAATCTTTATTTAAGGGTTTAGAAAGGGCATAATATGTATTACAATTTCATTGAAAAGAGATCACATTAATAATGCAAAAATATATCTGTATGCGAGTAAAATACCCACTTCACTAGTAACCAAAGTTGCCATCCCTGGGATTAATATTGTAGATGGACATCTTTGACACTTAATTTGCTTCACATTTTTACCATCTGAAGTTATTTCTGTGTCCGTTGAAATTTCAGAAGCATCTTTTTTTACAACTGCTTCTGATACGGAAAGACCTTCCGTCAAATTTTGAGCAGTTTCTGCCATTTATATTGATAACCTGAAAAAAAGCAACAATTATTATAAGATAATAATTAGAAATCAAACGGCAGAACTAAATATTTAGCATGACGATTCATTAACAGAAAATTATCATAAACGAAATAGACATATAATATAAAATATACGTCAAATTTTAAGAAATTAAAAACACAATGCATTCAACTGGAAACAAATTTACACAAATTACAACTCTCATTGTAATTTTAAGATACATAACAATGATAAAACTGAATGTTATGAAAGGGGAAAAAAACGACAGAAATAAAATCAAAAAGTACAGAGCAGCCTCTAGCAATTAAAAATAACATACGATCGACAAGAAAACTAGATGCCCATAGACCACATAAAAACCTACAAACACACGTTATAAATCAAATTTCTGAAGCATTTTCAAAGTTCAACGCTCCACAACTTCAAGCGCATCGGACCATTCAAAACTCAGACATCAAAACAAAACAAGACTATAACAGACAGGCAGACAGACAAAGTAGACAGATGTCTTGTTTTGCACCTGCTAAGTCTTTCTGCACCGATGGGCGAAAAATCAAGCCTAGCTGCGAAAGAAAGGTATATAGAAAGAGGAGCAATTTCGTATTTGAGGAGATGTAAAAAGGAACTTCGTACATATTGTACGAGTTCAAAAGGCCTGGAACAAAATAAAAATTAAAATAAATGGCCCAAAAATAATAGAAGGGGGAAAAAAAGGGCCTATAGAAAGAAAAGGAAAAGAAGTAGAAAATATCCTAAAATACGATTGTGTCCATGAGTGTAGTTAAAAGGAGAAGAAACTGTCTTCATTTACAATAAATAGTGGCTCCAGGTGTGTGTGTGTTGTTGTATCTCTCAATAGAAGTCTAAAAGGTAAAAAGAAATCTCTTACCTTTTCTGTTCACCCGGAGCGAGCTTGTCCATTCTAATTCTTATTCGATGAAATATCTAAATAATTCCAAGCTTTTGCATAAAAACTGACACTTCTGTATAAATAAAGATATTATATTTAGATACAGTTAATACATTATTAGATTACATGAAATTACGCGCTCTCCAGCTAACAGTCAATCGAGTTCGGATTCAAGTTCTAACTACGTTCTTCCGTAGGATTATTCTCGAGTTTTGATGTAATTGGTGCTGATAGTTCAGAGTTTAGATGTGGTGGCACTGATAGTGAGGAGTTTGGATGTAACATCTCCCACCATTGAGGTCCGACGGTGCGGAGGAACTCAATACACACAGGTCCAGTCGATGAGAAGGCGGAACAAGTCGTCCAGCTCTGGTCGTCACTCGAGGACTTAAAGCAGGTTCTGGAACACTAGCAGCCTGATCAACCTGACCAGTTGCAGGGTTGTTACTATCTCGAGGTGCTCTGTCGAGCACCTGGAGATAGAAGCACCAGCAGATTCGAGCACCAGCAGATTCGGAAGTAGAGAATCTCCAACTGGAAAAGCCGGGGCCACTGGACGAAGCAGAGTTCCATTTCTTGTCTTGACCATCTGTAGTCTAACTATCCCGTCTTTACTGGGAAAAAGCTCCACTATCTTGGTTAAATGGCCAATGTATGCGTCGTCTCTGGCTGTCTTCCAACAGAACGGACATCGCCTACTTGCAACTTAGTTGAAATTTTCCTCTTCTTTATTGCCTGTTTGTCTCAACTGACAAGATATTCATTACGAAATCTGTTTCGTAGATCATGTCTTATTCTCTGTCGTTATTTGGCTCGGCAGTTTAGTTCTTTGGAATCTACGTAGTCCATATCAGGAACACGTATACAAGACTGTCCAAGCTTTAGACCCTCACGGAGATAGAGAGGATCCGCTAGATCTACTCCGACGACTTCAAAAATAGCCCCTTCTCTAACTCGGTCTTCGGGTAGGAAATCCTGGCTTGACTTCTACTCTTTGTGTAACAAATCTTTTACATCTTACACATTTTCTGATAATATTCGAATACTGTTTTGGATTTTAATACCCAAAATTTTTTTCTAAGATTCTCATTAAAGTGATGACACCAGCATGCTGGAGTTCTATATGTTTCTCGTAAATTAGTCTCTGAACAAGAAGGTGTTTTGAAGGTAAAATAATAGGATATCGGAAATTTTCATCATCTTGACGCTATAGCACGTTAGTTTTGGCTCTGAAAATTCTATTTCGGTCTACGATTTGTCTCAACGTACGAACAGTGGGATCTTTTATGCCTTTAAATGATTCTTTCTGTACCAATCTACAAAGTGTCTTTTCATTATTCTCAAATTCATCAACTATGACATCAGGGGTTAGGTTTTTCTCTTCGTTCTTTAACCTGAAAATCCAAACGATCATTCTCACTGTTTTTCTGTATGAAGATAAATATTTATAGTACCAGTCCAAATTGTCTCCATGGTCTAGAAGAGTCGAAATAGTTTTCCTTTTTTCTTTGTTCATAAGTTCTTCATCAGGCTTTTCTTCTACAGCCGGTCACAAAGTATTCGAACACCGGTACCCTATCAGAAAATGACAAGATGGCGTTTTTTTTCTCTTTTCTCTCTGTGTGTCGTGTTATTCCATCCTAGGTTTTCTTCTCCCCCCCCCCATCTTGGAAAAAACTGGAAAAAAATTGGTTACGATCTCTTTTTGAATGGGGAGATGCCATTTTGAGAAAAAGCTGACGACCCTATCTTGGAGAATGAAACATGACCGCTCTACACACCCTTTCACTCTCTCTCTCTCTCTCTTTGAATTGGGAAGCCATTTTGGGAAAAAAGCAGACGACCCTATCTTGGAGAATGGAAATGAACGCCTCTCCCTCTCTCTTTGAAATGGGAAGCCATTTTGGGACCCTCTATTCTTGGGGAGGGAGAAAACTGAAGTCTGCATTTCGCTGTCTCTGAATGCGGAAAGCCCTTTTGGGAAAAGCGGACCCTCTTCTTCTGATCTTGGAGAACTGGAAATGAACGCTCTACACGATCTCTCTTTGAATTCAGAAGGTATTTTGGGACCTTCTAATGTTGGAAAACTGAAATGAACGCTCTACGCATTTCTCTCTCTCTCTCTTTGAGATGAGTAGCCATTTTGGAGGATTCTCCACCACCATCCTAACCTTGGAAAACTGAAATGAACGCTCTACACCTTCTCTCTCTCTCTCTCTTTCTCTGAAATGGGTAGCCATTTGAAAACTCCCTAACTTTGGAAAAAAAACAGAAATGAACGCTCTACACCATCTCTCTTTGAAAATGGGGGGGTGTCATTTTGAGACCTCCCTCCCCTAAACTTGGAAAAAAAAAACTGAAATGAACGCTCTACACTTCTCTCTTTGGACATGGGTAGCCCTTTGGGGACCCTCTCCTCTTGGTAGGAAAAAAAAAGAACTGAAGTGAAGGCTCTACACAATCTCTCTTGGAATGGGATCCATATTTCGGGAAACGTGGATCACCTCATGCTGGAAAACTGAAGTGAACCACCAAGATTGGACTCTATATAATATTTTTTTTAATTGACATCATGACCCTCCTCCAATTTGTTATTAAAAAAATTTTTTTTGTTTTGGTTTTTATCCCATTTCCGATGTGATTTCAGAAATGCAATTCCATAACAGTTCAATTTCATTCGAGGTTAAATGATCTAAACAGTCTTTGACCCACCCATCCGTATGATTATTTTCTTCTCCTTCCTGTTGCACCAAATTTTGTAAGTCCATATAATCATTCCATACGGGAAGGGCTGGATCCTCACAAGGCTGTCTTGAAACACTTGGAGTCTCTTTGGGATGAGTGGAGGGATCTAGGATGTCTGGACCCGGCTGCGATTCTACCTCCATGATTTCTGGACCCGTTGGAACTTGTGAACCCGGCTGTGATTCTGCCTCCATGATTTCTGGACCCGTTGGAACTTGTGGACCCGGCTGACATTCTACCTCTACGATGTTCGGACTTTTTGAAGCTTGTGGACCCGTCTGACATTCTACCTCTACGATGTCGGGACAGGTTGGAGAAGAAGAAGAAGAAGAGGATACTGGAAGAGGTTCTGTCTGTGAGGAGTCCGAAAGAGGCTGCCTGTTTGAACAAGTCGGGGAAGAAGAAGAAGAAGAAGAAGCTTCTGGGTTCTGAAGCGGATCTTGCACGCCAGGTAGGTTCCGGTAAGTCGACCGTTTTTTAAGAGGTAATTTTTTTTCTTCCTCCTCATCTTCAATTGTGATGACTTCAATTTCATTCCGTTGCCGGGTCGATTTTGTTTCGGGCCATGACGGTTTGGTCCAGCTCCTCTTATCATCTAAGGAAGGGATGGGTAAAGGTGGCGGAGGGTTCTCTTCTTCTTGAAACATCATCGGCGATTGGAAAGAAATCTCCTTTTTCAATTGTTTCCAAAGCGAGTACGAGCACCGATCGACGAGAAAGAGACTCTTCTGGGTTGTGACGATGAGATATTGCGTTTTCGGGGGAACGACATAGTTTTGAAAAGGTCTTAGAATATATTTCTTATATTTCATCCTGTCGCTGACTTTAAAACTTCTTTCCTTCAGATTGGGGGACGATGATTCGTAATAGGCGAGAGGAGCGGCTGTGGTTTGAACAATATGAACTTCGTCCTCAGCCGTCGTTCTCACTCCAAACGTAAAATATCGTTTCGTGAGAAAAATATTCTTCCACCGAAAACTCGTGCGCGGATCTGTATATCGCCGGTCTGTTTGAATGGGCCGTCTCAAAGCTCGATCCATCCGATTCCAAGAGAAGGGAGATTCCTCTTTCGTTTGTTGCGATTCGAATAAATTTCTGTATATATTCTGAACGAGCAGGTTGGAGGATTCGACATCTTGGTTGAAAGAAACGATCGCTTGATGAGGTGGTAAATGCGGAATAAATGTCGCACAATGACACGCCAAAAAAATTTTCAAGTTGGAGATTTGCTTTAGCGTCTTCAAATCCTCCCCGTTCGAAATCCGTTGAGTTGGAAAAACGTCTAATAGCGACATGGCTCCCAATGGAAAAGAAATGATCTCGCCCAGTACTCTCGTCTTTTTATATATCTATATAGACACACACAGACACACATAGAGGCTCTATGACGTCCGTTTTATTTGTTTTTTTTTGTTTCTCTCTCTCTTCTTTCCAAGAAATCTTATCTCCATGACCTCTTTTTCTTTTCTTAAAAAGATGAATGTGTGTGGGAATGAGGAAGTGAAAGTAATAATTTAATAAACAAAAAATTATCCAACCATGACCTTCTTTTTTTTTCAAAGTCACCCTTTCCAATCCAATCCAAGGACGTCCAGAGATAGAGGAAGCAGGGAGAGAGGAGGAGGAGGGAAGGGAAGGTCACACTCTCTTTCTCTCTATAAAAAAAAAAGGGGAGAGCCCCAAAGTCGTATTTTTGTCCAAGTGGATCATGAGGAGGCATCCCCAGCTCACTACGTGTATTCCTTTCAAATATAAATATGTTGATCTTTCCTTTTATATCATCCAAGGAGTCGTTTACCTGAAAGCCTCCGATTTTTCAAAATGT